CACACTGGAAATTATTATGGATTTGACTTGTGCAAGCAAGATAGTACAAACAACAAAAGTTAACCCATACCTAATGAAAAGGTTGGGGGTAGAAAAAAAATCATGAAATCCATATATTTTGTGATAAAAAAATATTTGTTAAAATATCTAAGGTATACAACATATTTTAATGATTGGTTATTTCAATCACTTTGACTAATCAATGAACTACTGATCTTACATATTGGATTAGAGAGTTTTTAGTATAAAAATGATGTAATATAATCTGCATGCTGAGAATGATTTACCTGCCAAGGTTAGCATAAGCCAATATGTGTGTAATGCCATCTTTTCTAAGTTTATTTCATTTGAAAAAGGAAAACTTATGGTTTTCAGGTTTGTTTTATCTGAAAACTCATGGCTTTGAGAGCAGCAAAGATGATATTTTTATTGAGTTGTTTGCCCAACTCCGATTTCTTCTGTTAGTACAGCCAACCCTTTTCACATGGATGGAGTACTTCAGTGACTTTGTGCTCCACACCCAGCCCCAGACACACCCCAAGATACCAACTCATTGCCTAACCACTGCTCTTTCTCAAGAATTCAAAATATGCATAGATCTAGTTAGAAAATAGACAGATAATGGACCTGAATGGCTGCTTTAGCCAAATTGGGCCACATAAAAGCAGAGGAAGCGAGTTGAGAAAGAGAGAGGAGGCAGAGATGAAAGGGGCTCTTTTTTTTTTTTTAAATACAACGAACAATCATGGTTTTTTATTTAAAAGGTAAATTTCCAGTTTCTAGGGTCCTGACTGGGCTTTGTTGGCTGCCCTTGGATTTCTATGAGATTGTTGCAGCCTTATATTAAATTCCTTTCTGTTTAAGCTTGCTTTCATGGGTTTGTGTTCCTTGAAACCAGTAATCATCACTGACTGGGAAACAGGATAACTTTGATATACAGGGTGCAAGTAGAGAATCAAGAGGCACAGACAATAAAACACCTCATAGTTTAAACTAAATGTAGCATCAGACTAGGGTTTCTCATGGCATGCCCCTATGCATGCATGTATACGTGTATGTGCCCTGTGTGTAGGGATATGTATGTATGACTTTAATACCCACTAGTACCCATGCTAGCTATAAAGCACCCACAACTGTGCCAGCTTACGATACTTGATTCACATATAATTGTTAGGTCACCGAAGGAGGAACGCACGAGGCTGGAGTGGTGAGGGATTACAAATTTATTCGATCATCTGCACACCAGGTGGGTGAGCCTGGATGGCTCCAGCACCCAGTGATAGGAGTCAGGGGATTTTAAAAGACTTTTGGTGGGCTTTTTGGGGGGCAGAGACTTCTTTATGCATACCCGGAGGGGAGATACTGGAATGTGGTCACCGCAAGTGAAATGTGGTCTTCAGCAAAGGGAATGTCCATAGTGAAATGACCTGAAAAGCCAGTTCTTGGGGATGGGGTATCAATTCAATTAATCAATCAAACCTAACAATAATCTTATACAGGAAGAAGTAATTATCTAGTGGTAAAGCCAGACCTATGGAATGGGCAAGTTTACATTATTTTATTTATGTTTTTACCACTATGCTCCTCCATTGTTTTAAAGTTGCTTATGAGCCCGAAAAAGAGCATCTTCTGTTTTTATTCTATTCTCCATGAACCTATTCCAGGTTGGCATTAGAATATAATGCTTTCACAAATATTCATATTCAACTATTGTAAATATCCAACATGACAAGCATTTTTGATGAATGATCTTAGTCAGCAGTTCTCAGCCTGTGGGTTGCAACCTCTTTGGCGGTTGAACGACCCTTTCACAGGGGTCGCCTAAGACCATCCTGCATATCAGATATTCACATTACGATTCATAACAGTAGCAACATTACAGTTATGAAGTAGCAACGAAAATAATTTTATGGTTGGGTCACAACATGAGGAACTGTATTTAAAGGGCCAGAAGGTTGAGAACCACTGATCTTAGTGTATTCTTTCTGTGAATTGTTAAGCATATTGCCCAAAGTTGCACAGTTAGTGAATGGCAGAATGAGTAAGCGTGTTTCTTGCCATAGAAAAATGTTTCTCCTTCAACTGTTAGTTCAGGAGGCTTGAGTGTGAAAGCAGAATGGAGTATATAGCTTTAAATGAGGCTAAGGGTGGCATTCTTCAATGATGAAGAAATACTTAGTAGCATTACAGATGAAATTCCTTTAATTTTAGCACTCTGTTACTTCACCAATTGGGCTATTAAATTGAAATATTGTTATCGAGCAAAGTATGCTTTGTGAAAAACAGAAGGGAGGTGATCTCGGCCCTGTGCTCAAATGGGAAAAGCACACCTTGGTTCATAGGTTTAGGTCATAAGTAAATTTGAATCACCCCTGATTTGACCTTAGCTTTTTTTTTTTTAATTTATCACTGGTACCTACAATATCCACTCTGCTTTGCTCATGAAATGCCCTGAGTGGGAATGTCAGGGATTATTTTGTATTGTGAATATAAATGATGAGGTCTGCAGTGGAGGAAAATCTGGAACAGTGTTCAAGAAGGCTGGTTGGAACATTTTTGCAAGCAGCTCTGCCCATGCATATATAGAT